ATTTGTTGAACTTGAGATACGTTTATCATTCAAAAGTACTGGTGGATATAGCCAAAATGTGTCCAGAAATGCAGTAGTAGGTACTGCACGACTGCCGTGGTCAGCAGGGTTGAAGCCAGTGGAAACATAGTGCCATTGTTCAGGCATAGAGAACTTCCTTATGCTTTCCACTCTGTTGCCGACATACACGTAGAACTGTCTTGTACGATTGTGTATATATCCTAGCACTATTTTGCTGTCTGTATAAAAGTCAAAGAAGTCTATTTCAACATCTGTTTCAAGTTCTATAAGCTCAGCAATTTCCACAGCTAATACAGCTGCACAAAGTTCAAGCCTTGGAATAATATGTGCAGGTTTTGGTGTGAGCTTGGTCTTGCCCATGATAAATCCTACACCCACTTTAACGCTGGGATCCGAAGCTCGAAGATAAGCCACCGCAGCAATGGCTTTGTTGGAAGCATCGAAGAAGACATGAATCTCTCTTCTGGTGGCATTCTTTAAGGATGTTGGGTGTAAGAGCGTGGTATCTGGAGTTGTTCTAATGCTTTTAGAGACTGTTTCCAGGATTCCCACCTTTGTTGTTTCTCCTTGGGTAAGGGGGTATCCCAGTCTGAGCTTTCAGAAGTACGTTGTCTCAGCAGTATCTTACCCTGAATGGTGAGAGGTGTAATGAAACCTAAGGGATCATAAATGCTGTTCACTGTTGACAAAACTCCTCGCTTTGTGAAGGGCTTGTCACAGGCTGATGCCTGAAATGTGAATGTGCCTTGTTTAACATTCCAAAGTAATCCAAGACTGCGTTGTGTAACAGAAAGGTCAGATCCTAGTTGGAATTTCTTTACACTGACAGCATGGTCATCAGAAGGAAAGTCTATCATGACCTTGTCGCTGTTAGAGATGATTTTGTGAAGTCTGTGGTTTGCAGTGGCAAGCATGTTCTGGATTCTAGTAAGAAGGTCAATAGCTTCTTCTTCATCGGGCAGATATTTGAGTCCGTCATCTACATAGAATTTCCTTTCGACGAACTGTCTTGCATCAGATCCAAATTCTTTCTCACCTTCTTGAGCTGTTTTCCTTAGTCCATAAATTGCTACTGCAGGAGAAGGACTGTTACCGAAATCATGTGCCTTTATTCGATAAGTCTATGACTTCATCTTTGACATCATTATTGCGGTACCATCGGAACCTGAGGAAGTTTCTGTAGTCTTCACGTACGATGAAACAGTGGAACATCTGCTGAATGTCAGCTATAACAGCAATTGGCTCTTGTCTGAAGCGAAGTAAAACTCCTATGAGATTGTTGTTCAGATTAGGCCCAGTGAGAAGACTGTCAATGGAGATGCCTTCATGACGAGCACTTGAGTCAAAGACCACCCTAATTTGATCAGGCTTGCGAGGATGGTAGACACTAAAGCATGGTAGGTACCAACATTCTTCTCCTTCCTTAAGAGGTGGTGCAGGCTCAGCATGATCTCTCTCAAACACCTTCTGCATAAAGTCCACAAAGTGCTTTTTCATCTCAGGCTTCTGGTTCAAACTACAATTTAAAGAAACAAACTGTGACTCTGCGTGTACCCTGTTGTTTGGTAGTCTCTTTCTTGGGGTACGAAATGGTAGAGGTGCTACCCAACTGTTGGAATCATTTTGGTAGAACTCTTTACTCATGGTTTTCAAGAATTCTTTGTCTTCTATGGTGGCTGCCAATTCATTGTCTTTAGTGGTTACCTCGAACACTGTGTTGCCGATGTTGTCACCCCAGAGATTAAGAGCTTTCTTATTGTCTTGTATGATGTGCCGTTGTGCACCTTTTTCAAACAGTCTTTCTTTCACGATATATTTATGTGGTCATTGTGCAGAACAAGTTGTTTGCCCCGTTGACAGGAAATGTGTTTTAAAGGAAGAGACTGATTAGGACCTCCTGTCCTTGTCTAGGCAGACATTGCCTATGATGACCCATCCTAGATCCAGCTGCTGAGCATATGGTGAATTGTGTGGACCGTTGATTTGATGACGAACTTTGTGCACCCTTAGGATGTCTCGACCGAGTAACAGCAGTATATCGGCACTTTCACCGAGGGCTGGTATTCAGTTGGCTAAGTGAGAATGGTGAAAAGCAGCTTCAGGAGTAGTCCTCTTTGGTGCTTGGAATCTGGTTGCACTCAGTTATAGTGGGCAAAGATATTTCCACATTGTCATTCAGAGGAGTAACTACAAGACCACTGGCTCTCCTACCTAAGACTTCTGTAGTGCCGGCACAAGTGCTTAGGGTATAGGGCAGAGCATCTCCAGCTATGTTCAACAGTTAAAAAAACTGAGTTCTTGAAATGGATCTGTTACTCTGATCATCCAGAATAGTATACAGTCTTATGGCCTTTTCAGGTTGACCTTTGGGGTATACACAGACCAAGCATATCTTTGCACAGGATTTGTCGCAGACTCCTTCTCCACAGACCTCTGTACATGTAGAGAACACTGGGGTGGTAGGTGCTGCTTGATCTGGGTGCTCCCCGCCTTGCTTTGCCTCAGGAATATTGTTTGTGAGCGTAGAAGGGTTGTGCGAATATTTATGAAGAACTTGCACATGGTCATCACTGTCACACTCTATACATTTGATGATTGCTATACAGTCCTTTGCAAAGTGTTCTGTGGAGGCACAGCATTTGTAGCAAACCCCACATTTCTTCAAAAGTTCCTTATGTTCTTGAAGAGTTTTCTTACTGAAGCCGATGCATTTCTTAAGTGAATGTGGTTTGTTATGTATTGGACATTGCCGATTTGGGTCCTCAGTTTTCTTGTTTTGATCAGACGTTTCAAGAACTGTAGCAGGCGCAGGTAGGCTTGTTGACCAAATCCATAGATTATGAAATATAATATTCTCTGATATGATTTGGTAAATGAAGGGTTCTTACCCAGAAGTGAAAGGTTTAACACAACAACAAAAATTTATTGGTGAATAGGATGGTCTAAACTAACACAAACAATCTATCAAGTTACATAAAAGAAACAATATTAAGAAAGCTTGAATGTATTACAAAATACAGTGAGACAGAAAAGACATAAGACATTTAGATACAAGTGCAAGGGATATATTCCATAATTACCATGGAACTGGACGTAAAAGTTCCATTCCCTTCCTCTGGTGTTCCAAAGAGAACCTCACTCTCTCTCGTGTCCATAGTTATAGGCCTCTCTTCCAGTAATTTCCATAGAGTATCTGATTGGTTGGCCAGTCTATTCCCTTTCATAATTGGCTAACTTCAAATCCCCTGTATTTAGCATACACCAACCCCCTTTAAGGCAAATCTTGGCACACCCTTTATGGAATTTAAGCAAGCCACTACATGGCCTTTTGCTGGGAAATTAATTAAGTATTCATGAATGGCTGGCCACCTTCATTGCATATCTAAATTAGGTATCCTTTGAAGTGCATATTTGTGAAGCCAACAGGTTGTGTCCAATTGTTAGATAAACTAACGCTGGCAACGAACTGTCTGAAAGAGGATTCTCAGCAAAGACATCTGTTGTACAGTAAAGAAGGTGTAATTAATAGAAGAATATTCCCTTTGGCAACTATGGTGTCTATAGAAGAGTAATTTATGGGAATACGTATTGCACATCCACACTGATAAAGCTCTAACTAAAATATATTCATAATACAATATTATATACAGTGTTTAATGAAGATTTCACATAAACTCATTATCTAACAGTCCGCCCCTTGTGGCCAGTGAAACTAGGCCACACCTAAAATAATGATTCATGTGTAATCTTTAATGTTCAGAATTTTGCTGTTGCCTGCTGAAATAAAAAAAAAAACTCTTTGAAAAGACTCTTTAAACTCATCTCTACAGTCCACATTTCTGGATCTCAATATCTGTAGTTCATAACTTGTGTTGAATGTAATAAGTCCATATTAATAATAACAGACAAAACTGAAAAACTGAGGATCTTGTTTCTCAACAGTCCCATAATATTAAGTCCATAATGCCATTTTGATCACGTTGCACTTGGTTCTGGGACATCCTTCCATGGTGATTTTTCTTTGGTATACGTATGCTTTATTATTGTGGGCACAAATATAATAATGGAAAACACAGGTTTCCTGAAGAGTACTTGTAAGACAGATTCATTCAAAGTGATGTTTATCTAGTACTTCTGATTATTATGGACCGTTGTTGCCAATTGCTATAGATGTTTTGTGACTCATGAGACCCTTTTACATTGCCACATTAACAATTTGGATGGTTATCACCTTGAGCCAGTTTCTCAGGGTTGAAAACACCCTCTGTCTCCCTCCATTGTTATAAGCCTGCAAGTAATTCCCCACCTTCTGCTGATGCCCGCTGTGTGTGTATGACCCTTCACGTCTCCATTGGAGATCTTGTTGCCATCGCAACTCACCACTGTATGCTTTTTACTGGAATCTGTGTCCAGTTTTACGAACCCTGATGGGCTAAAGCCTTGGCTGGTGCCAAACATTTGTGCACTGAATTCCGTCCTTGGCTACTGGGTGTAGCTACTGTATGAGCCATGCCTTTAGCAGGCTAAGGAAGAGGTCATACCTTTAGCAGGCTAGGGAAGAGTTTCCAGAGCAGAGTAGGCAGTGTCATATAGGCAGACCAAATAACTTAATTTCAGAATACAGAGAAGTGTGATGTCACCTGTTATGTTTGGCTTCAGGAATAATCCAACTAAATTACACTTAAGTAAAATTGTACTATACTATACCTGCTAATGGCCAATCACTATCACAATCTCATCTCAAGTCCCAGTATATCTATGTGATACTCAAGCAATGCCCTTTGAACTTCATTATAGCAAAAACCAACAAACAGAAACAAAAATGACCATATATGAGGACTGATAGATTCTAGGACTGTAAAGAGGACTTCATGTGAGATGTAGAGATACTGTAGAATGGATACACAACTGTTTCTTAAACCTGGTGTTACTTTTTTTGTAGTTGGCAATAGTTAAATGCAGGGGCGGACTGACAACTCATGGGGCCCCTGGGCAATAGGGGATCATGGGGCCCCTGTGTCTTTACCCAAACTCAAAAAAGCCTAAGAAAAAGGTACCAGGGGCATCTCATGGGACCCCCTACTGCCCTTGGGCAGTGTCCAAGTTTCCAAATGGTCAGTCTGCCCCTGCTTAAATGACAATAAGGGAGCTTCACTACATTTATATAAAACAGTTATTCAGTGTGGGAAGAAAAAAAATGCTGGAAATTCACTTAAACACACAAAAATGCTGTAAAAGAGCTTTAATATTCTATATCAAGCATTACAAAAATGTTCTCCCTGTGCAATTTCAAAATGTTCTCCATAGCCCCCTCTTTTTTTTTTTTTTTTTAATTTCACCATAGCCAAACCAAACGACTTAAGAAGCACCCGGGAAGAGAAATTGTGCTAAAAGGATAGACAGAAAAAAAAGCAAAAAATAAATAAATAAATAACAAAAAGGTACAGATTTAATGCTGACTCAGCATGCCATTTATCCTACATCTTTCTCATTATTTATTTATTTATCGAGTTTATATAGCGCCAAAGGGTTTGCTCAGCGCTGTACAATAGATTAACATTAACTTGTTAGAGAGCATTGAATCTGTATTTGGTCTCCAAAACAAAATGCAAACTGCATTACAAAAAAATACATTTCTGTTATACAGTGACTTAGCACAAGCCACTCCTCTATTATAGTGAGTAAATTGATCCATTTAAACTCACTTTGCAAGGCAGGGATAAAAAAAAAAATTAGAGGAAAAAAAAACTTTTATTATAGAGTTTTAGTTCGTCCTGACTGCCATTAACTGCAATTCAGAGGCTTCGCCTTAAAACAAACATAAAAAGTTTGCTATGCTTTAAGGTCCTCTTTTCCAAATATTTTGCTTAGTCTGGGTCAGGTCTTTATTATCCGTCGATGTTCTAGTATTTTTCATAAAATACAAAACTCAAAAACCATTAATAACCCCTCACTCAACTTCTGAGAGGTTCTCAATGACTAAACTAGTAGTGAATGCTTGGAACGGACTTCCAGCAGAGGTAATGAGTCCATTTGGAAGAGAAAAACAAAACAAAACACACACCTACTAAATCGACAAAATACCATCAAGTGCAAAATAACATATTATCATGTATTTTCCCAGTGTCAGAGTGAATGAAAACTTCACTCTGAGCCACAGGAAAGAAAAGGAAAAATACAATTCCTACAGTTTCTGAGTTATTGTTACTAAGATGTTATATCTGTGAACAGGTTCATTAGCAGAGATACGATTGAAAAAAAAATGTTGGTACCAGTACTGAGCTCATTAGAAAGGGCACAGAACAAAACACAAAAAGAAAGTAAATGCATGAGCATAACAGTGATCACATTTCTAATTGATGGCCATCAAACAATGGTGTGTTCACACCCCTGAAAATAAGTATTCATTTTACACATCCAACACATCACACGGACACACCCATTCATTGAAATCATCAATTGAATCAAATACCTTATGGTTTGAGTATGCTTACTATGTGTTTCCTGCAAACAGGAGAAAGAAAGGAAAGAAGATAATCTCCATGTTTGTATCCCTAACCTAATATACTTTACCTTTGCTGGGTATGTGTATTTATGTATATAGACATCTATTTGCATACACCTATCTTTATATGTAAAACATCTCTTTCATGAACCTGCAAAAAAATATAATTAAAAACAAAAGTTATTACTCTTTTCCTTTACTACACAAAGAAAGTGAATACAACATTGTTACATTTACATTGGTATTTTATCCAAAGTTTCTATATAGCTTATATTTCCTGTTTGGTTCCCAATGAGCAAGTTACTACCTCCTTATTTTTCCAATTCGAGAATTCAGTAAAATCTCAATGTTTTGAATTCCTTTCACACCCTCATCTGTTCCAGTTTCATTTGCTTAATTCCACCTTTTCAATGTTTTGAATTCCTTCACACCCTCATCTCGTTCCAGTTTCATTTGCTTAATTCCAGCCTGTAAAGATTCATTCTTGATTGTAATCGCTGAGAATGGAATGCATGATCTCGACTTTTCGTAGTTATTACACCTGGGCCATTTGAGTTTGATATTGAGTACACCTCAATATCACGCCTTTGTTCTATATTAATTTTGTTTTACAATCTTTTCACCATTAGAGGCCAAACAAAATCTTGCAATGTGGCCAAATAATCCATATGTGTTACATTTTATCTTTTCTAAAGTATTGAAATGCCGCTTAACACAAGGCTTGGTTTTAGGCTGGGAATATGCATTGGCTGAAACCTGATTAGTAGCTATGTCTGGCTGCTTGATAGATCCTGGGGTATTCCTGAAAGTGCTCTGACCTTCCAATGATGCCCATGCATATCGCTACCATATACCCTGGATGTAGATAATTTGCTGCTGAATTTAGAAATGCCCTGAAAATAAGCCACATGAATTTAGAAATGCCCAAATAAGCCACATTATTTTTTTCTATTGCATGTGAACAGTGAACAAACTGCTCCTTGTTGGAAGATGCAGACAATTGCTTAACATTGCTCTCTGCATCCTTCAACCTTTGTGCAAGCTGCTTCATCTCTCCATGCAATCTTTCATTCTCCATTGTTAGCTGGTGGTGGCTATCATCAGAATTTGTCATAGAAACTTTTAAATGACCAATATCACTTTTGGCTATTTCAAGATCCATTTTTAGGGATTCATTTTGAAGCTTTAAATTTTCAAACTGATTAGCCATCCAACAGGCAGCAAACATCAACGCAGTCTTTCCCTTGCGTTTGCTATATTTTTTCTCTGTTAGCTTGGATTGTACATACTCCTGTGCCTGGTGCCATGGGCTTTTAGATTCCTCCATTACTTTTATAATTGCAACACTGTCTTTAACTTTAGCAATCTTGGCCATTCATTTCTCCATGATGCCCCAAACTTCCAGTAACTCTACTACTGTACACAACAAAAGAAACAGATTACAATTGTCTGAAACTGGAATAGTCCATATACAGGATTGAGACACAAGATTTAAAAGAACAATGGCATCTACCCTGAATAGTCCCTAAATGACAAAAGACCGAGGAGATTCACTGAACAATAGAGATGGAGATAGAGCTTGTACAGTGAACACACTGCAAACAATAGTGGAGGTGACCCTTCTAGGCAAACAAAAATAGTAAACACTGGCAGTGTTTTGCCAGTAATGCAAGCCATAGACGGGTCGTTTATCGGCCGAATTTTCAGCCGATAAATGAAAAATCGGTGGGCCCCATTGCCAATGCTGCCACCCATGTCCACGAAAAACTGCAGTTTTTCACGTATTTTCCAGCATACCAATAAAACTAAACGATAAGATCCATGAAAAACAGCCGACTGGTTGGCCCCACTAATGGCGTGAATATCAGCCGATTCTTCTTGCGGACGAAAATTCGGCCGATAAATGACCCGTCTATGGTCTGCATAACTATACCAACAAATTCCACTTAAAAAAATTGTCTAAACTGATAAGTAAAGTATGCTAAATGTGATGGATCTTAAACATGCCCATTCAATTAATACAGAGAAATTAATCTACATCTGATTCACTGACCAGACCTTCACAGTTATATACCTTAGAACATTCTAACCTTTCAATAACAGAACAGAACTCTTGTCTACTTGCAAGTTACTGCTATAAAATTTGCACTTTGACAATGAGAATATTACGACTTGTAAATTCCCTAAAAACAGCAATAAAAATGAACAACTCTCCTGTAGCTTAGTTTCAATGTCCTACAAAATACCCTACAGTCAGGATTTTGGTGCCTTAAACAAAAAATCTAAACTAAAAACAAGTAATAAGTGTAAGGTTTTTTACTGAACCAACAAAGACAACACTCTTTCATTGCCTTTTTAATAAAGCCTACATGTGCCAACACTAAAGCAACACAAATAATACATGAAGCTTGGTAAGTCCAAAAGTAACAAAAACAAAATGGTCCGCTCCGTATATCCTCCCCATTAAATTGACTGGTTTTTAATGGTTCTTCTAATATACTACTTCAGTATAATTGCGGGATACTTGTAAAACAAAAATTATGTGGAGTATCCTCCCTCTTTTAGAGTTCTTCTAATACTCACTAAAAATGCACAAGGTACCTGTTTTACCTAGATAGGTTTGCTGTGCTCTCCAAACTACCGGCAAACTGACTCAGTTTAAAGCCACCCCAATAACCTTAACCTGTATTACGCAAATTTTGGGTCCCTTCGTGGTCGCCAATCATGTTGAACAAATTTATAGATTATGAAATATAATATTTCTCTGATATGATTTGGTAAATGAAGTACCCAGAAGTGAAAGGTTTAACACAACAACCAAAATTTATTGGTGAATAGGATGGAAGTCTAAACTAACACAAACTATCTAGTTACCTAAAATAAACAGTATTAAGAAAGCTAAAACATATAACAAAATACAAACAGTGAGACAGAAAAGACATAAGACAAACATTTAGATACAAGTGCATGGAATATATTCCATAATTACCATGAAACTTGACGTAAAAGTTCCATTCCCTTCTTCTGGTGTTCCAAAGAGAACCTCTCTCTCTCCCTCTCTCTCTCGTGTCCATAGTTACAGTGGGGCAAAAAAGTATTTAGTCAGCTACCAATTGTGCAAGTTCTCCCATCTTAAAAAGATGAGAGAGGCCTGTAATTGGCATCATAGGTAGACCTCAACTATGAGAGACAAAATGTGAAAACAAATCCAGACAATCACATTGTCTGATTTGGAAAGAATTTATTTGCAAATTATGGTGGAAAATAAGTATTTGGTCAATATCAAAAGTTCATCTCAATACTTTGTTATATATCCTTTGTTGGCAATGACAGAGGTCAAACGTTTCCTGTAAGTCTTCACAAGGTTGGCACACACTGTTGCTGGTATGTTGGCCCATTCCTCCCTGCAGATCTCCTCTAGAGCAGTGATGTTTTGGGGCTGTCGCTGGGCAACATGGACTTTCAACTCCCTCCAAAGGTTTTCTATGGGGTTGAGATCTGGAGACTGGCTAGGCCACTCCAGGACCTTGAAATGTTTCTTACGAAGCCACTCCTTCGTTGCCCGGGCGGTATGTTTGGGATCATTGTCA